CCGAAATCTTGATACTTAATAATTGCATCTCTACAAAATTTCTAATGTTAAATTCATTATAATCTATAGAAGGCATTGTTACAGTGCTCCAATTTAATTGCATTTCACTCAAATTAGGCCATCCCTGTTTTGTTTTTGCTATTATTCGTACATCATATTTAGCCCCTCTTATTAAATCTGCAAAATATTGATTTTATTTTTTTATGAAGTATACTTTTTTGAATAATTTAAAATATATTTTATTATATTATTAACTTTTTAAATGCATACCAGAAAGAATATAATATTCAATGTTAGCAGGTAAAAAAATTACTCTGGATGATGGATGCTGATGTAATCTCCACTGTAATTTATATTCTACCACAATGCCACGTGATTCCTTTTTTGTTAAAGGTTCCCATGATACGTTTAACTTTGTATTACTAATAACATTTATATTTATTTTCGGTGTGCTTTTAGGAACTAATTAAAACAATAAATCTTACTTTAGTCAATGGTACATATAGTTTCAATATTACTATAATTTATTAAATAATATATTTATCTTATTTAAATAAGATAAATAGTTAATATATTTGAACATATTCATACCACTTGGAGCTGTAGAACACAAGATGGTGGCAGATTGATCGCTAGCGCCATGTATGTTCCATACTCGTACGTAAAAAGAATAATTTGTAAATGGTTCTAGAAGTTTTGTTACTTCTACAGATGTGGAATTGCCTGGCTCAGGAGGAGAAACTTCTTCTTTACCACCTTCTTTTTAACAAAAAAATAATAGGACAAAATAACTTATAAATTCTTTTTTTTTTTTTTTTTTGATGGAATTCTAAAATTAACTTATTATAATTTTGTAATGTTTTTAAATTTATAACAATCCATTATAAAACCTTACCAGCAGGGCTATAATGGACGGTATAAGCTGTAATACTGGTATAAGGTAGAGACTTTGGTGGTTCCCATGAAATAAAAATTCTAACTGGGGACACAGCATGACATTTTAAAGAGGTAGGTGCAGCAGGACTATTACGAGATGAGTTTACTTGAAGCCGACCAGCAGCCCATATTTCTCCTGCTGAATTTACAGCTACACATTGATACAGACCAGAATCTGCTGGAACTGTTGCCGAAATTGCCAATTGCATTGTGTTGTATTCTTTTACGTAAGTTGTTCTACGTCCTATAATATTTTAATTTTTTATCTTTTACAAATATTTATGAAACTTTGTTACCAATAATGATACTTCAATTAGATTTTTACCATTGACTGTAATATTTAGAGAATCCTTTAGCCAATAAATTTGTGGTACAGGTAAACCCTGTGCCTGACACTCAAATCTTGCAGTTCTTCCATTTGGACAAACATGATTTGTAGGAGTTTTCAAGAATGATGGAGGTACCAATATATCTACAGTTATATTCTGTAACAATTTAAATGACAAATTTAATTAATATCTCTCTCTCAGAACATTATTATTAAAATATATTAAAAACATAGGAGCTTAAATACATACCTGAATTTCCAAATCATTTGTCGAATTTTTTGAAGAACAAACATAGATGCCAGCATCAAAAATGCTTACATTTCTTAATTCTAATATAGCAATGCCAGTAGTAGAATTAACAAGAATGCGAGGTTGTGGAACATTGCTGTTACCTTTAAATAAATAACTTTATATAATGACAGTATTTTTATATAATTTATACAAAATTCAAAAAGCTTGTATAATTACATACCTGTATATCGAGGTATGAAAGTCCATGTTATAAGAGGCAGTGGATAACCAGATGCAGCACATGCTAAATTAAGGTTTGATCCATTAAGTAGCCAATGATTATATGAGGTTTGTGGAAATAATGATGGTGATTTATATGATTTTTCATTCTCCGATCTAGCAATAACAGTCAGTTGTGCCTCTTTACTTTTTTTGGTTTTTTTTAGGAATTCATTAGTCACTACACATCTAAAATAATAAAAAAGATAAATATCTTAGCAATGGCAGTGGGGTATTTATAATAAGTTTTACCAATATTTTATACCTATAAGAACCAGCATCTGATAATTGTGTTGTACTTATATACAGAACACCTGGTGATACCATTGAATATCTGCAATATCAAATAATTTATATGTATATGCTCTTAAAATATTAATAATTATTTTCTTTACTATATATTAAACATACTACTAACTTTGAATTATTAAGACTAAGCAGAACTGATTTTCCATTATGTTCCCATGTAACATTAGGTGGAAAGGGAACACTATCTATAATACAAGACAATCTTACTACTTCGCCTTCTTGAACAGTTACATTCTCTGGTGATTCTTTAAATACATGGGCAAGTTCTATAATATTAAAATGTAAAAATATTAAATCTTTTTGATCAAATGGATCAATAATATATTACATAATAATTATTATTATTATTATAATAAACTTGCCTGCTATTTCAATGAATGTTGGCGATGATCTCAATAGTCCTCCAAAATCAGTACGTGTTATGCAACGATATTCATCTTTAATATGATTCTTAATATTAGTAAGGCTGGTATTTTCTTTTTCTTTGAACTTTTGTGACTTTTGGAAATTCTGTTTCTACGATGAATTATTTTTATAATGCAAATTACATTTATCATTTTCTATTTTAATTATTGTTTTATATTCATACTCGTAAGTACCTTAATGTAAAGAAGAGATCCATTACGTTGTACAGAGCATCGGGTAGAACCACATGGTGGTACTGGTTTTCCATTACGTAACCAAGAAATAGTTTGATTAGTATCAGCTAAACAATCAAGTATTATCGTTTTCTTTCCCAATATTACATGACCACTAGGTTCTATTTCTGTTGTTATAGTAAAACCTTTTGTCGAATCTGCATCAGAACCATCCGATTTAGATACATTCCTATTATTTATATTTGTTCCAATCCCTTTGACACCTGTAAAATATAAATAATCATTTGTCAATACATATAAATATCAATGCACATCATATTAATAAAATGTTTAATTTAAATAAAGGAAAGTAGAAAAATGTTGTTGGTTGCATTTACTATAAATGCAAATCAATAAAATATATATATATAACATTTTTAATTGTACGAAAGTTTATATAGAAAAAAAGAAAAATAATATGCATATGAAATAAAAAATAAACAATAATTAATGTGTACAATTAAAAGAGAAAATAACAAACGATTACAAGTATTTCCGCAATAACGAATTGCCATGCGACATCGCTATGAGTGTAAACAAACAGATCTGATGGCAACAGTAAAAGACGCACCTGCAGCACAAGCGGGCTTTAGTACTTCTGTAAACAAGATACTAAGCAAAAATATTCGCGCCGCCATATATTAACGCTCATTGGCACCGGTTTCACTGACAAATCTTAGCCGAAACACGCCGTCGTATAGCGAGACTCATAAGAAATAATCTTCGCCGCATGTTTGACATCGTCTCGAAGGAGATTGTTTTTGGCCGGGCCTAGTTCGTTTCGCAGTTAATTAAAAAACTCTTTTGACTTCATGAATCATTGTTTTTTCACATGATCAACAAAAATATGTTATTCATCGCGTCGTCGTTTAAAATATTCAACCGGCAATAGTCGATTACTGTTGACTGCACGTTTGCCGTCGTAAATCCAACCACCACACCAATAACGCCTGCCTTCGTTTTGCGTTAGCACGCGATTCGTTCTTCCCTTGCCATCTTCCTTGCCTCCCTCCAACCCAGAATCCAAACGCCAAAGAAAATGATTCAAAATTCTCTGCCACGATAAGTACGACAGCGTCATCCTGTGGTCAACAGTAGAAAATACACCAGTCATACTATCTCATTCTCTTGGATTCGATCATATTACTGAAATCGGGTCAAATAGAGCGGTTATACATCCTCCAATCAGACATCTTCACATATATAGACTACACGCTGATTGGTGCATTTTAAATATTGATTAATCTGATGCAATCTAATCTCAGAATTACTTAGACGCTATCCTTTTTTATAATTAGATATTTTATTAGATGTATGTTTATATAATACCTCTTGATTCGTAAAGATTAATGTGTAATTCATAGATAAAATCATTTATAATTATCTTATTGTATAGTAATTACGTGTTGGCGCGATTGAGTTATCTTGTCTTGACATTTACATTTAAAGCGCAATGAAGGTAGTTAAATTACCTAGTTAACTACAAAGTCACTTGGATCGCTGTAATCGAAAAATGTTATTATGTTTCAAAATAATTTCAAAAATTTCAATCGTAAGTATAATCAATTAATTTATATATCTCTCATTATAAACAGCAATCATTATTTTTTAACAATAAACATCAAAAGCTTCTTATTTTGAATGCCAGAATCGTAATCTGAAATCGCAAATTATTAAAGTATTAATTACAAAAGTATTTTGAATAATATGTGAAGTTGTCGAAGTTACCGCCATTGTTTCAACAATTATAAATCATGTATGTAATTGATTTCTCATTTATTTAGACAAAATCATTTCTAAAATACTTTATTTATTAATTAAAGTATTTCTTTTTTCTTAAATATATATATTAATTTTTAATTTACACATTTTTTCATGAGTATTATTAATTATTACATATATATGTGACAATCCAAAATATCGTCATATTAAAATAATTAATAAACAAATCTTATAATTAATATCAATAAAAATTGGTATTTTCTCCTTAAATTAATTTCAAATGGCTGTAACATGAAGTTATCGATCGTTAGTCGAATAAGGATTCGACAAAGATGAAAATGTAACGTGCAATTGGTCAATACCGATCGGAAGTGCTGATTTCTTAGATTCAAATCTATATATTCAACACACATAGATAAAAGGCACGTTACGATTTGCGTCGATGAAATTCAGAAGGGATTTCCGATTTGCTGAGAGAAGGAGTAAGAGTCAGTGGAAGGGATGATAAGGGCGGAGGAGTTGGTGGGGAGAGGGTGGGGTGAGTGGTAGAAGGGGGATATCCGCAATTCAGTTTGCGAAGCGGCGTAATGTGAAGAGGATCTGTCGTTCCGCCTTCGACATCGTTACGTCGCTGTTTAATATCTCTCTTCATATTTCCAGTGTCTTTCAGTCTCTTATTAATATTAGTGTGACAACTGAAAAAATTTGAAAGATATAAGTCCTCTTCGTGTAAGAAGATCAAATATTACAAATGGAAGACAAAAACACACGTTGAAGACACATATAAGGTCTATTTCTTTTTCTCTTTTTTATATTCCTTTCTTTTTATTTTATCTCTCTCTCTCTCTCTCTCTTTCTCTCTTTCTGTCTGTTCTTTTCTTTCCTTCGAGTACAACCTCTTCAGGAAAATCTTACCATTGTCTTAATCGACTTTTACATTTTTTATTTTCTTTTTTTTTTTCTTCTTTCTTTTTCTCTCTTTTTATCTATTTTTACATTTTTCTCTCCTCTCTCTCTTTCTCTTTCTCTTTTACTCACCCCTCTTTTTTTTTTTCATCCATCTATCATCTCTTTCTCGGTAATTTCTTTTTTGTTTTCTTTGTTTTCTTTTTTCTTTCTCCTATTTTTTCTTCTCTTTTTTTTTTTTTTTTTTTTCAATGAAATTAAAAAATGCTCATATGATTTTATTATACGCGTTTCGTTAGACGGTGTGATTTGACCGAAAAAAAAAAGCCGGAAGAGATTAGGCTAAACTCTAAACGCCGACCTTGTCAATAGTTCACCAGTCTAATCGGCGTACACGTAGTCCTTTGGAGAACGAAGAGTGTGACGAAAGTTCTCAAGAAACGGACGATCTGGACATGCCTACGTTGGTGCAACCAGTAAGTATGCAATATAATAATATATCAAACATTGCAATGTTACATTTGCTTTTGATAATTAATACGATATATATATATATATATATATATATATATATATATATATATATATATATATATATATATATATATATATATATATATATATATATATATATATATATTAAGAGATTAAATAGTATTAATATATTTCATTTTCTATATTCAACTATAAGAACGATTGTCAATCGATTTGAAGCATCCATTAAACTCAAAAGATATGTCCTCGAAGATAATAAACAAATATATGATGAACTGTTAATAAATGTATATATATAGATCTCTCTCTCTATATATATATATATATAAATCATATATTCCTTTCTCTTTCTTTCCTGCGAAAAGACCACGTGCAAAACACGTTGCGTGGCCCGCGGATTGATGGACGAATCTTACCTTTATCGTTTCACACGCCGTTTCCATCGTTGCGCCCTCTGAGTTTATTTTCTCTCTATCCTCTCTCTCCCTTACTTGTTTCTTTTTTTTTTCCCCCTTTTTTTTCTTCTTCTTCTTGTTGTTCTTCTTCTTCCCCTTTGTTTCATTTATATTTATCTTTTCTTGGGTTTCAAAAGAGAGAAAAAAAAAAAAGATGAAAAAAAAAAAACAACAAACGTTTTATTTCTTTCACGTTTACACAATGCGCGCATTTTTCAACGATAATCCCCTTTTCTTTTTCATGCTTATTAATTAAGGTGGGTGGTGGGTGGGTGGGTGGGTGGTGGTAGTGGTGGGCGAAAACACCCCCATCAATTGATGAATTTGGAATTTTATTATTATTATCCTCTTTCCCAATCTTTACGATAAATATATTATTATATTGGTGTGATTAAAAATAACGCGTGAAAATTAGAAAATATAATAATAGTAGGAAAAAAATAATCAAAGTAATTCCCCTTTTTTTTTCTTTTTTTCTTTTTTTTTTCGTAATCCTTTAGAAAATAAACGTCGTGACCTGTATTTTACTTCCTCCTTTTGTTACGTCACTATTTCTACGCAATTGTGACCTTCTTTCTTCTATCCGTCAATAAATTTACCATTTAAGAATAATAGATATTTGGTTACAGTTTTTTAATTAGTCATATATAATTAAATTCGTTCGTAGGTAATCATTATTTAATATGATTACGTCTCGAAAACTTGGTTTCTATTATAGATAGTTACCTTATCGAGAATTTGATCTTACATAAGCGTGTAATCGCATATATATGCACACCGTTTATGTTAATTTAACATTAGTAATAATAAAAATATTCCATATTCAATTCGTTCTTTATTCATATATTATTCTTATTAACATTTTGCATGCGTACTTTGATATTATTGACTAATTAAAAAACAGAATTATTCCTCGACCAATAGTAGCATCAAAAGAACGAACGAATGAACCAATCACGTATAAGTTGTCGAAATATTATTAATTTAGCGATAATTTAAATTACATTTCCTTGACCAATAGGAGGCGTCGAAAGAACGAACGAACCAATCACATATAAGTTGTCGAAATATTATCATTTAAATGATATTCTATATATGAAAGTAAAGCTTAACTTTTAATTACATTAATTTAATTAATTTTTCATATGGAATTCTATTTCTAAGTTCAACACACTTAAGAGGATATAATAATACTAGTTTCGATGTGTATGTAAAATTAAAAGCGTAAAAAAAGGGAGAAGAAGAGAAATAGAAAGAAGGAAAAAAACAAACTGAGTTTTCTTTTCTTTTCTTTTTTTTTCTTTAACTCTGTTCCTATACTTCCTCGTTGTTGTTTTTTTTTCTTTTACCGAAATTTTTCGCTTACATATAAATAGTGTTTTGAATATTTTAGTTCTGCACACCTTATGCTTGTTGTTTGCTTGCTTGCTTAGTTTAGTTTAGTTTAGTTTAGTTTATACTATATCAAGATATTACGATGTTCAAGTAACTGTTTACCCTTACGAATCTAATTATTTAGATACGTTTACGATCGTTCGTTTGATTAACGAGTATATATAAGATGTTGTTAAAAGATTTATATATGTATATATCTTTTGACGAATCAGCGAATAATTATGCGCTGCTTACGACAGGTGTTTGATTTCTGAATGCGATATAAAGTCATATAATATGCAGAAAAAAAGAAAGAAAACGAACGTTACATATTCGCGATACAATTTAATTCATTCTTCTTTCCCCTTTGATGTTGCGCTAAAATTAAAATCGAGAAAATAGTTTCTTATTATTCGTTATTCGTTTAGAATAAGATAAGAAAAGAAAAACCCCTCCTATCATTGTATTTAAGCGTACTTTTCATGGATACTATTGTTCTTTTATTACATTACTTTATCGTATAAGGAAATATATATATATATATATATTTATTTATATATAAAATTTCGATAGAATTTAGCATCGCGTTAACACACAACACACACCACAATGATGATTATATGAGAAAGTAAAATTTCTAAGAAGTTTTCTGTTAAACCATCTTCTCTCACACAACTTTGAACTTGAAAGGACACAATTCCAAGAAGTTTAGTTTGCCTCTTAAGATATTGAATAATAGATTCGCTCGTTATCTTCTTCCTCGACCTGAGAGAATATTCTTTTTTTTTTTCTTCTTCTTCTTCTTTTCTTTTCTTTACTTTTTTTTCGCAAATTCCACAAACGCGAGCTGGAAGAGTGACGCCCTTGTTGGCGTCCTGTTTTTCGTTGTTGTCTATCGAAAGCTTGCAGAAACGCACATTTGTCTCAGTATCGTTCACAGAGAGAAAGAGAAAGAGAAAGAGAGAGAGAGAGAGAGAGATGTGGTCAAAAAATTCTTGGGTACGTAAACTCACACACATACACACATATTTACTGTATTCTAAATATTTATTTATATCACATTGCGACTCTCTGAGCTATTGGAAACACACACAGATGTGTTATTCGAAAATTTTATTTATATGACCCGTAAAAAAAAAGTGTGCTGGGTTTTTTTTTTTTGTATCTTTTCTTGTTTTCTTCGCGAGTAGATGATGCGGTGCGTGTTATGTAAGTGAATAAGTAAAGTATATAGATACGTACTTATTTACATACATATGTATGCATATATATATATATTTTCACGAATGAATACGTATATAGTAATAAGGATGATCGTTTTTGTTCAAATGAAATAGGAAAAGTGTGTTATCTTTTGCGTTATTTATTTATTTATTTACTTTTTTCTTTACTTTTGATTAATTTTCCCTCTCGTAGTTGTCTTTGCCGTACGATGAAGATGGAACGAACACGTGGGAAGGCTTGGAACGTAACGATACGACGACGCAGGGTTTGCAATTGCATACGCAGCACGATCAAGAGATGCAACAATTGCAGTTGCAGCAAAGAGAACGAGGACAACTTTTACAGGTGCAGCAGCAGCAGCAGCATCGTGAAAAGACGCAACAGCAGCAGCAGCAGCAACAACAACAACAACAACAACAGCACCAACAAAGAGATTCACAACGTGAACGGGAACGTGAACAATTGCATCAGTTGCAATCTATCAACAATTTATTGTTAGATTTACCTACGACGTCGAATTTGTATTCAAATTATTCACACGATGCCTCCTGCTCGCAATCCACAAAAAGTTCTAACATCGAAAGTGAGCTGATAATGTTATTTTAATATATTTCGTTAGATTATATTTTCTTTTTCTTATTTTATTTTTCGATGGATGTTAATAAGATTTTAATTGTAAGATTTAAATTCAATCATATTTAATTTATATATATATTGTTTTATCAATATATCAAACTGGATAGTAAAGTAAACGATAACGTTTATTTTAATTCGAATTTATTTATTATATTAAAATAAATGTTAATTCGATTACATTATTATTTGGATATAATATAAAGTTTTCGAAAATAATCAATATATATTCGTTAGAATAATCCTTACGATTTATTTCTATCACCAATTATCGATTCTTTATTTTTCTATTAATAATTATAATACTAATCGGTGTTTTCTTTTTTTTAAATATTTATTGTAAAGAATTTCTTTTTGATTTTTCTTCTTATAGATGATATGAACATTTCGGATTTATTCGGTCTGAGTTTACCTCGAGGATCATTAATGGGCAATCAAACTGCAGTAGATTCATCGAATTATCGTAATTATCAACAACGCGGACAACATCGTAATAATCAGGTGTCCTCTCATCAACGTTATCAGGTAAATAAATCAATGTGTGTCAGATACTACATATTTCTAAAATTTTAATTGTGTCGTTGAAATTTGTCTCACGCGTAAAGTTTTACTTAGTAGACCTCAATAACCAAAACCAGGATTATATGGAATATCCATTATGCTAGTCGTGTGTTGTTTTAGTAATAAAACTTGTTCGTTCAATCGTTTGTTACAAATTTGAAATTAGTTTTGGTGAACATTGTCTCAATATATTATACAAATAAAGTATATTAAAGGCTTGAATCGCGTATCTCAAGATGAATTGCTTATTTCTATGAAATTTATGATTACTGCTTATACGTAAATATATATTTATATATATATATGTGTGTGTGTAAAAGCATTATGATTGTTAGACACGTTTGAATGTACGATTATACGATTGATCGTAGAATCATTTAATTGTACGAGTCTCGTTGGCAAAGTAGGTGGATCTGGAGAAATTAATACGATGTGATAAAACTTGTATGATTAAAAATATTAGAAGATAAAAATTCTTAACTTTATTCGACAATAATTTTCTATAATTTCCAAATACAATTTCACACAAAATTTAAACGTTTTAAAACGTTTTATATACATATATATATATTAAATTGTAAAAGTAAATTTAGAATTAACCGATAAAGTAACTTAAATAATTTATCGAATAAAAATGTCGACTTTTATTTGCCCGAGGATGAATTTTTAACATACTTTTTTATCGTTTATGAAGTTCCACGAAATGTCGAATAATTCAAAGACGCAATAATAATGGATAATACAAGGGTTGGTGATTGTGTGGGCGGGGGGGGAAGGAGGGGTGGTGTATATGTAAGAAGTGGAGCCTACAACAATTTTGGCAGCCTGTAAATATTACGCGTTAGGTTGCGATAAAAACGTCAAACGTGAAATAGGCAGTATTGTGCTTGAGACGTCTGGTTGCTGCCAATGCAATAACCGGAACAATGATTATACCCATTGGAGTAACTCCAACTACCCCTTATTCTATCCAGACCGACTAATTTTTCGCAATTCAAACGGCAACCCACCATATCGATCATCGATATAAACTGCCACTCATTTGTTACTCAACACACACATATATATATTATTATTATTATTATTATTATCAGTATTTGAACATATCTGTTTAATTTATTATTAGGGTGAACCAAAATTTCGTGCGTTTTTATTGTGTTACAAATTGTTTTATAAACTGCACAATGGATTGTTTTTGGTAATATTAATTTTAAAAAAAAAAACACACGAACTTTTGGTTCACCCTAATATTGATCCTTTTTTATTTTTTTTTATTTTTTTATAATCTTATAATTTAAATATAAGATTATAAAAAGTCAAAAACCTTTTATACGATATGAAAATAAATTTTGTTCTCTTCTTGGATACATTAATTGTGTTAGTAGTTAATGGATATATATATATATGTGTGTGTGTGTGTGTATGTGTATGCAGAGAAGATCCTTGGAACGTCGAAATGCGTGCATTAGGCTCGGCTTATAACACGTAGAGTAAAGTAAATTACATAGAAGCAGCAAACGCCTCGGAGCGACCTCGATTTTGGTAGAGCCAAGTACTTGCAGACTTGAGCCAAACGATTCTATCCACGGTTTTCTTTCTTGTCCTACCTTCTATGATGGTTTTCGTGAACTTGTTATATTCCTTCGAAATCGTCTATCCTCGTGATAATTCGCTATGCTAGTAGTTTGGATATACTCCAAGGATCGTGTTACGAAGATACGATGCATAAAAATAAAATAAGATAATAAATATATAGGATATTTAATAAAACATATAATTAATTAAATATTAAATATGTTATAATATATATATATAGGATATTTAATAAAACATATAATTAATTAAATATCAAATATGTTATTTTATATATATATATATATACATTGGCCCCCCAAACCCGAAAGGGACAGAGTATAAATAAATAAAAATATATATACATTGAGATAGAGAAAAAAAAATTGTATAATTATTAATATTAAATATTAAAATAATTATAATATAGTGCGAGGACAATCACGGACTATATTCTAATTCGTCTACGGTCGATGTTCCTGGTTCGCCAAATTCGATGACTACTTCTGGAAGTCCAAGTACACCTGGAAGTTTATACTCCAATCCATACACCTTTCCGCAAAGTGCTAACAGCTTGTATTCAGGATCATCAGCAGCAAGTCGTTCATCGCTTCAACATGTAGGCTCTCCTCCATCACCTGTTCATTCGCCATATGGCAGAGCTATTCGTGGTTCTCCACCATACAGGTAATGCAGGTGTTAGATAGATAAATGATCCTAATCAAAAAATAATCTTTAAGAACAAGTATATATATTAATGATGTTCAATTATATATATATATAAATAGATACATATATATATGTGCGTTTGATTTTAGTAGTTGCGGCAGTCCTACGTTAGAATATCCTCCTCATACAGCAGGCTGCCATGTATCACGATCCAATTCACCAGCAGATTCAGAGACGAGTGGTTCTAATAGTATGGATGGTTCTTTATCTAACATAATGGTTGGTAATAACTCATAAATAAAACTTTTTTTAACAAATACAATTATATATCTTTTTCTTTTTCTTTGTTTTTTTTACAGAATTGTCTGTCATTAAATACATCGTCTCACAGATGTTATCCACAATCCTTAAGATCATTAATGTCACCAGAAACAGATCTGTATGGAAATAATAGGACAGCGGCATTGCAACGTATGGCGATTAAAAAATATTTATCGTCGTCTCATCAAAATTTATCATCCTTGTATCATCATCAACAAACACACGGCCAAAATCGAACTCACCATTGCGGTTCACCGCCGTCTGGAACATTTTTGAATTCACTTTTAAATCACGAGAAGGGTTGCTGCTCAACGGGAAATCCTCATATGATGTTAAATTCTCCTCTTAATATTCCGGATCCACAAATATCTTTGGAACGTGCGGCGAAGTTTCATAGAAATGCAGCTGGTAGTAAATAAATAGTTTAATGATAGTTTTATACGTGTATATATATATATATATATAGAAATATGCAATATTTCAAATTATCATATGATTTTTTTAGCACTTTGTAACCCAACTTGTACTTGGAGTGGTATATTGCCTCAACGTATTCAAAAACCAACTGGATATTCTTCCAAAGTATTTCTTGGTGGTCTTCCCTGGGATATTACGGAATCCCTTTTGATAGCTACATTCAAGCAATTTGGTCCAATTCGTATTGAATGGCCAAAAAAAGAACAATCTACTACACAGCCTAAGGGCTACGCGTATATTATTTTTGATAATGAAAAACAGGTATTTTATATATTATGTATTTTTACGTAGACGCACCCCACGCGTTATAAGGAAACAATCTCGCATATATAAATATAATGATTAAAATAAATTGTAAATATATAAATTATTATTATAGGTACGATCTTTATTGGCCTGTTGTACGCACGATGTTACTAACGGTGGAAGTTGGTATTATAGAATTTCTTCAAAACGTATGAAAGGAAAAGAAGTATGTTACGTAAGAATAGTTTTCGTTTATCATTTTTACTGATATAAATATAAATTAATCCGTTTCGTTTTAAATATAGGTTCAAGTAATTCCATGGATTCTTAATGACAGTAATTATGTTAAATTACCATCACAAAAGCTTGACCCGCACAAAACAGTATTTGTTGGTGCATTACATGGCATGTTAACTGCCGAAGGTTTAGCCAAAATTATGGATGATTTATTTCATGGAGTTATTTACACAGGTGATTTTAAATTACTATCAACCAACATTTATTGAACGATTATTCAAATATATTTCATTGCATAATTATACAAATATTTGTATTTTCAGGTATTGATACTGATAAGTATAAGTATCCGATAGGATCAGGTCGTGTTACATTTAGTTCGAAAAATTCGTACAAAAAAGCAGTATCAGCTGCTTTTATAGAAATAAAAACTGCTAAATTCACAAAAAAGGTATATAATAGTTATAATCATTGAAAGAACAATACTATTATGTATCTATAATATATTAATATATTAATTTGTCGTATATATTAGGTACAAGTTGATCCTTATCTTGAAGATTCTATGTGTTCTGGATGTTTCGTCCAACAGGGAACTTATTTTTGCCGCGAAGAAGTAATTGAAAAATCATTATTACATTATCACCAATTGAATAAGAAGAAAGATTCATATAGAAACTTTATACTAACTATTTAATTTCAGATATGTTTCAGGTATTTTTGCCGTAGATGCTGGTTATGGCAACATTCTATGGAATCAATGCGATATCATAAGCCTTTAACGCGTAATTCTAAAAAAAGTCAGGTGATCGAACTATCACCTAACATGGGTATTAACACTAGTTCCCGTAATTCCAATTTTTGTATTTGAAGGAATAATGGAAGTTCATTCCCCGTGCAGCCACGTTCAGTTCTCTTTTGACTATTTGTTTTGATACGGACGTTGCACTGGTTGACTTATTGACAGGGTATAATGTTAGTTTTTATTATAAAAAGCTGTAATTAGCTGGACGATATATCGAAAATTCCAGCTTCTCTACAAAATTACAACGATTAAGTTGTTATCATTTAAGAATGTGGTATTATGACTACATTCGAGACAAGCATTACTTTTATTTAGTATGTTTACTCTTAGAGTCTGGTGCTCTTGTTAATTATTTTACTACGAGAAAAGTAATCGTGTCAATAATTCACCAGAATTGCACTGAGATTAATACGTTAAAAGGTATTCGCCTTTTCGTTGAATTTTCATACAGACTGAATGATGGCTTTATGGTGATTAATATTGTTTTTTTTTATACGACAAATTAAAAGTCGTTAAAATGTATAGTGATTGATTGATTGATTGATTGTGTGGATAAGCTTAGTTAAAAGCTTAGAATTTTTTTGCGATTATTCTCGTCGCCATGAGAGATGATAATAATAACTACTTCTTGGCAGAAGATTTACGCTTAATTGTTAATTATTACTTTAACAAGACTATACATTTAGTCCATTTTCTAATTGGGCGAATTAACAATTGTATTTGTTATTTTTTTTGTATGGTCTACTTGATATAATAGTATATTGGTAAATCGATTTTCAAGAAAGTATTATCCCAGTACGCGCAGGCCGTTCTTCCAATTCGAACAGTCGCCTAGTAATATAGTACACACCCACCATTAGTTTTACTTTATATTATATAGTATAGAGAAAGAATACCGATTCGTGCCCACTGTAGTTAATAATTTATATATTGTTAGTTGGGAAGCGGTAAGCTTTTTATAAGCCATTATCCGCTGGGACTGTTTATAACTGTTGACGAAATGGAGAAGTACACGGTCTACGATTCTGGCACGCATTATAGTGAATTGATTTTGTTTTTATTTTTTGTTACTATATTGCGTTAAGTATATTTTCTTTCGATAAAAAAAATGTCGCCGTATATTTCTTTACCTCGCGTTTATCATGTTTTGATATATAATTTTGTTGAATTAATTAAAAAGTTATATTTTTGCAGATAATTTTATGCTGTGTTATTTTCATTTTTATTTTTTTTTTGTTATATTTTTTTTTTTTTGATTTCTCATAATTCACTGTTACTTTTGTTGCCTTTAATTTGGTTTTTTAAAATCCTTGAAATAGTATTTCTTATCCTTTCTAATTTTCCTTCATAATATATCATCATGATTTTTGTTTCCTTTAAAATAATTCATGATTTTCTCTTTATCCCTATATCAAACAATATTAATAATACATAATATAATATTATTATTGCTACATGAGAGTTTATTTACTTTATTTAAAAAAAAAAGAGAAAAAAAAAAGAAAAGTACTTCGGTTACGTTTATTATTGTTTTTATTCGATATATTTTTTGTATTATCTATGAAGTTATTTCGTAAACTACTGTAACAATTTTTAATTTGAAATTACGTTGGTGCCTTTGAAAGCATGCAACAAATTTCTAAGATAATAATGGCATTCTTATAAAAATTAAGCCTCTCTCTCTCTCTCTCTCTCTTTCTCTTTCTCCTTAATAACTTGTCCATTTCATCAATAAACTAATCGCGCCTGAAACAGTAACGCATTGTTAATGGTAGAATATTTACTGAGAAAAATGAATGCAATAGAAAATAATGTTGAAAGAATATAAGACTGTTCAGGAAGAAAAAAAATCTACTATATATAATACAAATTCTCTTATAGAATAATATACAATGAAGAAATAAGATTACACTAAAAACTTGAACAGATTTAAAAATACCTATGTATATTATGTTACAGTATGTTGAAGAGATGACGAAGTAGAGATAAAACGTGTTTGTTGTTATGTAAAACAAAATTCACGTGAAAATTGTTTTAACATATAATGTAACGTATTTACGATGCATATATATATTATATGCTTTGATCAGGCTTCCAAAAGACTTAATGTTAGGACTATTTTAGCCCATAAGTCATTTTGCTAGGACGGAAAAAGTAAAGTAACAAAAACAAGTCTATACTTACTTGCACAAAGTATCGAGCTATCATTAACAATTAGAGAATTAGAGGTTGACACAAATTTTAAAGATGCTCTTTTATCTAAAATGTCTCCTTTACAAACTTTTAATATGTCGTGCCTTTTAATATAATCTTCTTAGATTTTATTCCAACATGAGAGAGAAATAAATTATTTTTAAATCATTGAGATACCATGCAATACACAGGGTGATTTAGTGTTAATTGAAAAAGACTGTTATTGGTACGCATAATGTCAAGCTTTCCTAAAACTTTTAAAGAATTTAATCAAACTTTTAAAGAATTGTGAACTATAGTTATGGAATTTATTTTTATTTTCAAGAAAAAGTGCCTCTCCTATATTATTTATTTTTATTAATAATAAGAATTAATATGACTATAATTTAGAACATATATAGCAACGGGTTAACTTTATCACTGAACACAACAAACATTTACACAGTAGTAAACATTGTAATGAAAACAAATTCGATACCTTTATCTTGACTATGAAAAAGCTATAGACAATATTAGTAATTTATGACGCTTTAGCTTTTCGTATTGTATCCTTGTTCGACAGGTGCTCTGTATTGAATCTAATTTATTGAACTAAATAAAGCGTTCTTTAATAATCCCGTTTTTTATCTACTTTTATTAAATGATATTGAAATGTTATATATGTAAAAGTATTATTTGATACAGAAGATATATAAAATGATAACAAATACGCTATTTATTTTTTAGTTCATTAAAAAACATTTTTTATATTAATATTTCCATTATAATACATCTAATTACATATCTTTATACAAATTTATAAATTCATTATGAATATAATCGATATTTTTATCGTTATAATTTCTTTTTTTGCATTACTTTTTGGTGCAATGCTCTATAAACAGAAATACAACATGATATAGTACCGAGTGCTCCAACATGCCACGTTTTTAAATATCCTCCCCAAAGTACACCACTTGGAAGATAATTAACAGCATAAATTATGTCCAATAATAAGCATAAACATGTTAGTAATTCTTCTTGAATATCACGATTGATACTCTTGTTTGCTTCGCTGTTGAAATATTAATTGTTATTTTCGACATTCAAAATAACAAATATGTTTGTTAATATTTTATAGTAAATTGTAAGTGGTATTACTTACTTTGAATTTTTACACGTTTCATTTCCTTGAGATTTGTTTAACTTTAATTGACTTATTTTTCTTAATGATCTGAAAAAGCAAAATAAATAAAAGTTAGTAATAGAACAGGATATATGCTATAAAATTATATGAGAAAGAAGAATGCTCAAATTTCAAATATATGTCTTGTCTTCATGATAAATGAGCGAATTGGTCGATTTATAAATATTATTTTAAATCAAATCTTACTTTGTTAAAGAAAGATGGAGAGACACTACCCAAAACCATATAATAATGTTATTCCATAGTTTAGAATTAAGCGATACAATTTTATTATCTCCAGCCCAGCAGATATGTTCTATAGGACAAAAAATCATATTTACGCCAATTTGTATCAGTTCTATACTTCTAATAAACCAATCAGATTCCTATAAGATCATATATTAAATTTAGGGATCACATAAATGGATTTCATAGCAAACAAAATATATGAAAAGAAAAAGCTTGTTTTTTTTGTTTTGTGTTTTTTTTTAATTACATTATATAAAAAATACCTGTTTTCCCCATTTATATTTTGTTGCAGAATGAAACATTGGTAAATCATCTAATAAACGTAAGGCTACTCTACACTCGCTCATTTTACTACTAAATATTTTCAATTTGTTTTCTGTTGTTTCAGATGTAGCAGCCACAGTAGTTAATTTTGCTATGTATGATAAAGTACTTAAAATTTTATCTCGTCCACGGTATGTGTCCAAATAATTTGATAAAATTTCTATATCCATATTGTTTTATTTAGAATAAATATATAAATATATTATTAATAATTTATTAATAAATTATTTTAAATAAATTAATAATAAATATATTATCAATAAATATATATATATAAAAATTGTTGTGTGCTCTGCAATGAAAAATCATATAAATATCAATAATAATATGTACAAATAGAAATGTATTTTTACGTATATGTATATATTTATTTCCGTACATATATTTTAATTGCAGCCATCACATTTGACATTCCGTATTAAATAATACATATTTGACATTACGTGACGTATCATAGGATGCGCTTTAAGTATCATTGCATATTATCTTACGTCATTGATAATTTTATTTAATAAGAAAGGAATTGCATAGCATGTAAACTGCATTCCTAAAGTGTGTTCGTAAAAGGTACGTAAGAAATTGTTAAATAGGTAGCCATATTGAATTAAGTAGTTCATAGAATATTCGCATCGGGGCGCGACAGTAGATTGCAATATCGAGTTCACGACAATGCAGTTTATGATTCATGGTCGTGATGACGTCAGATTTGGAAGCACAAGCCGTGAGCGCGTTTTAAAGCCGAGTAGGGCGTGAAAGTGTGTGTTGTGCCGCTTATTTCGCTCCGCGTTTATTTGGCGCACCCCGTAGTACCTGGAAAATATGTGCAAATAGTAAACGTGTGCGCGTTCAAATGCATCCTTAATAATACGCGCTTATCAGAGACAATTATGTTCGGTGCTGCATTTACGTGATTGAAAGTGAAAGAAGAAAAAAAAAAAAGAAGAAGAAGAAAAAAAAAAAAAGGATAGATAGGGATACCATGTTCCGCTACATTCCAATTTTTAAAGGGTGTAACAGGCAGGTGGAATACGTTGACAAGCGTCATTGCTCTTTGCCTAGCGTCCCCGACGATATCCTGAGATATTCGAGGAGCTTGGAGGAACTTTTATTGGATGCGAATCACATACGAGAGTTACCGAAGGTAAGCAATTATAATCTCACCGCATGCCAACTTTATTGTACCAACTTCTCCTTCTTTCTTTCTTCCTTTCTTTCTCTCTCTTCTCTCTCTCTCTCTCTCTCTCTCTCACACGCTCTTTCTCCCTTCTTTTATTTTTCGTCTCTTTTTCTCCTACTGCCTCCATGACGTCTCGTCCCGTTGCGCTACAATAGACGTGGAACGCTTACGACGTAATTTTTCTGTATACTATACTATACTCTGTCATTATACTACTACTACTACTACTACTATTACACTATTACTATATATATATATATATATCTTTCAATCTTATCGGTAAGTACATTAAATACTATCATCTAACATTTCTTAACATTTTACAGAACTTCTTCCGTCTTCAGAGGCTAAGAAAACTCGGTTTAAGCGACAATGAAATTGGTCGTTTGCCACCGGACATACAAAATTTTGAGAACCTCGTGGAGTTGGACGTCTCCAGGAACGGTGAGCGGTATTTTCATAAATCCTCGTTTCACTCTGCATTTCCAACGGAGGATTATATATATATATATATATATATATATGGGATGATGGACGATTATATAGGAACTAAAGAATGCAACTGAAAAAAAATCAAAAAAAGAAAACTTAAGGATCTACTGCATTCCACAAAGCAATAATGCCATATACCGGTTGAGCTTATAAAGATTCTTGGATGTTCCGTGCACGAGTTTTCTTTGGGGTTTCTTTTCATTTCCTTTCTCTTTTTCTTTCTTTATTTCTCTCTCTATCTTGTTCTTTCTTTCATCTTTCTCTGTCTCTCTTATTCTTTTAGTTGCCTCTACCTTCCCTTTCTCTCTATCTCTCTCTCTCTCTCTCTCTCTCTCTCTCTCTCTCTCTTTCTCTCCCACTACTTTCTACAACCATGTTCTCTTTCAAGCACGATTCTTTAGCACACTCAATCGGTTTCTCTCTCTCTCTCTCTTTCGTCATGGAAACGATCGACGTGTAGACCCTTCGAAGGTTTCACAAGGGAAATATCTATTGGAAAAGTTGTCACGTTATAATACGTAGAAAAACTCAGATTGTATGATACTTGAAGAAAGATAAGGAAAATGGTCTCATGTATGCATCTGTGTTTTATATATATATATATATATATAGCTGATAGTTTATATAGTTTACGCAACAAAAAAGGCGGGACTGAACGGACGAGTTTCATTAACGGGATATTATCTTTACGTCTCGTCGTACTACGATTGTAAGAGGGGAGTTTGGTGGGAGAAATATAAGAGAAAAGATAAACAGAGAGATAAAGTATTATGACTTTATATCACAGTAGTAGTAGTATTATTACAGAAAAAAATGAAATATTTGGATAAAAGATGATACACATACCACGACACATTTTATTAAAGAAATCATCTTTTTTTCTTTATACTGTCGTATCTTTTTAAAGATTCAGTTTTAAGTCATATATTATTTTCTTGATATATGTTTTATCCTTTTCATTCTTTAAACTGTCAGTAAAGTAGTAATGTTGAGTCAGAGCAACCACGTGTTTGCTCAACTCATATATATATGCAAATATGTATATATATGTATATATGCATGTATTTATTCATGTATTTATTCATGTATTATCTATTTATCTATTTGTAACTTTGTCATCTTACAAGTTAAACGTTTCCTCTTCAAGAATTTTATTCAATCAATTTTTAATAATACTGTGTACGCGAAAAGAGAAGAAAACATACACAACATCCAAAGAAACAAACACACAGGTGGTCATTTAATAATATTTATTTATTTTGTTTTGTTTTTTAGAAATTAAATAACACTCTCTAAAAAAAGAAAGCTGATTAATTTACTACGAGTGACGTCACGATTAAGTGTAACGTGTTGTAACATAATAGAACTTTTTATCAAGTTCTATTCTTTAATCTTGATATCGATGTCTGATATCTATAAATACTAATTATTGTTATAAAAAGATCAATCTTACGGTCAACGTTATTATTCCTACTATAATATATATTACATTTTTTTTAATTTTCTTTTTATAATATTGTTACAACATTTTTCTTTATTTCTTCAACGAGTGTACACGTGTAACGTATAGATTTTATATATATATATACATATATTTATTTTTTTTAAATCTAATTTACATACCAACACCATGATTAGATTTTATAATTAATGATAATTAATATTATACAAGAACGTAGTATAATAATTGATATAATCACGTGTTTATGCATCATACCTAGTAAAAATGATTTCATTCTTACTAGGGTGTAACAGGTATTCATCGAATCGTCTTTTATAAGTATATATATATGTACGTACACACACATACACACACAATATATATATATATATACGTTCTACTCCATCCTGTTCACTTTCTAACAAAGATTCACCGGCTCGTAAGAGCGAAGACATGTTGAAACGTTTCCCCTGGTCTTCTTTCTCTTTTTCACTCGTTCGTTCATGGTTACAGGTACTTTCTTAAGAGGGAAGCCTTACCTTTCCTTTCCTTTACTATACTTTACTTTACTTTACTTTACTTTACCGTTCCTCATCGGGTTCATGCACTTTGAATTTACTTACCGTTTCATCTCAACGTTTTTACCTTTGAAACTTTTTCATTTTATTCCTTTTTTTTCTTTCTTCTTTTATTTTATTTTCTTTTTTTTTTTAATTGGACTGAATGATATTACTTAAAATAATTTTTCAAAAAGTATTCAGATATTATAATGTGATTATTAATTTTGTAAAGCTTCTTATTTTTTGTAATATTTATAAAATAATGTAATATGTAGATTGATCAGTGTTAGAGTATGTTAGAATTTGTTTGAATTATTATTTATCATATTATTGTTCATAAGTATTTTATTTTTATATTTGTTTCATTAATTATTCGAGTCTGAGGTTTTAATTCAAATAGTTTCGATAGAAAAAATTGTTAATTTCAATATAAAAATTGAAAAAAAAAAAAAGAAAAGATATGATTCACGTATAAAGATAACAAATATATTAAATACTTCCTATAATTTTCTGATAATTTTCATTTCATTAAATAGCTGATTGTACATCTATTATTATAATTTCAATGTTATCTATAGCATTAAAAATGTATTTTCATAATAACGTGCGTTTATATCGTCAGTTTCGCAATCTTTAATTTACTTACAATATTTAACAAAATTCATGTGTTTCTCTTAATTCCAATATATTAAGTCATAATACAAAAAATAATCCAAATAACTATCACTCTTTTTAGTGTCTACATTTTTATATTACATTTTTCTTTCCAAAACGTTTTATCAGAATGAGATGAAACCTTTAAAAAACAAACTAACAATAAATCAAAAAAGAAAAAAGAATTATTAATATATGATTCTATAAAATTCTTCTTTATAGAAAATACAAAAAGAAAGTAAAGTAAAGTAAAGTAAAGTAAAGTAAAGTAAAGTAAAGAAAATGAATATTATTTCATTCTATATCAGAGGTTTATTTTTCATCAAATTCTTCAAAACGTCTTACTGGAAAAAGGGTTGACTTTAGTAAATGAGATGAAGAAAATTTATAGCGTGATTCAACGTATTCTCAACGTATATATATATATTCCATATCTTGTTGATCTTATAACGTAGAAAGTGAAATATTTTTAGACATAACAGATTCGAAGGCAAAACCAGATTAATTTGTTCTGGCTTTAATCGTTGAAAAACACAAGTAAGATTTCCTCACGAACATCTAAAGAAAGAAAGAGAAAGATCTTCTTTATAATGGTTTTAACGATCACCATTAATCGTTTTTCGATAAACAATTCAGTTAAACTCATTCAATAATGATGATTCGTAGGATTCCAATATATATAATACTAATCGTTATTATTCACTTTGAATACGAGCTTTTATCATTTAATACGATGGTAGGATATATACCTTCAGTTAATATTGAATGAAGTTTGCATTTTAAATAGCTTTAAATGAAAGATTCAATGTCGGTACAATCGTTTAACAACTATAGAGAGAAAGAAAAATAAAAAATAATAAAAGAAATCATTTTTCAAT